AGTGGCATACTCCAACAAAAGAAAGATAAATAACTGATGCCCGGGGGATGGAGGACTCCCATATATAAAGGGCGGGGTTGCTTGTCACACCCTTTTCGGGCTTAAAAACATGATTTTGGTACCTATTAGGGTGTTCAGCCTCAAAAGGTCCACACAGCAGGAGCTTTTGCAGTACCTTTTAGGGTATTGAGCTGAAAAAATGAGAGTAGCAAATGTGCTGTTTTAGAAATGGTACCTCTTAGGGATGAAACCAATTTCAAGCCACATCCACATAGCAGGATCTTGGTACTTCTTAAGGGCTCTTTTAAAAATAATTTCCGGAGCATCCCCGTCCTTTCTACATGGGAGTTCCCTCCCAGGCAACCATCCGTCCACCTCTCTTTTAGGATTTGGCAAGTCCTCTGTCAACTACATTTCAGTCAACACAATTTGGAAATTNCCCCCCCCCTCCAGGAACCGACAAAGTTGAAAGAACAGAAAGTATACTGCCACAATTTTGAAATTTGCATTTAATTGGTCTACTCTACAGTGCACACATTCCCATATCTTTTTAAGGTAACGGATTGGCTGCTTCGCCGGTTATACAAGGAGTTTTACGTACATACCCTTATGGGAGACGCCCTTGTATAAAACGTCATCTAAGAGATACTTTAAAAACTTCAATGATACCATAGATAAAAAATAACATGTAAAACGGTACAATAACAGCATTTTCTTCTACTATTTCCTTCTACTTCTACCTCCAATGCCACACAGAAAATAGATTCAGGTGCAGGCCAAGGAAGAAAAGCAAAATAACATTTCCTATTTCATGCTAGGAATTTGAGCTTGTCTGCAGTTTCCTTGACTTCTCCATGTTAACTTGTCAGAAAAATAATCACTGGATGTCAAACTTCCTTGTACCCTGTAAGGGAGCACTACTGCAGAGTGTACATTCCCATATCTTTTTAAAGTAATGAGTTGGCTGCTTTGCAGGTTATACAATGTGTTTTTAGTACATACCCTTTACAACTTGGGTTAATGAGACATGCCCTTGTATACAAAATCATCTAAAAGAGACTTTAAAAACTTCAATGATAACATAGATCAAAAAAACATGAAAAACAATACAATAACAGCATTTTCTTCTACTGGTTAACAGCTGTTCTTGGTTTCAGGCAGGGCTTCATGGAAACTTTGAGTAGGCAGGCCCAACAACACGGATCTGTAAGTGACAATAAATAAATAAATAAATAAATAAATAAATAAATAATAATAAGATAGAATTAAAACTAAACTAGACTAGCTAGACTAGATCAGAATAGAACAGAATAAACTAGACTAGACCAGAATAGACTACACTAAATTACACTACACAGTACAAGCCCCTACTAGACTAGATGAGACTAGATTAGACTAGAATGCAATACTCAATACTTTACACTGTATAATCCAATGACTCGTTTGCAGCCAAGGATACTAGTTCCACACAGAAAATAGGTTCAGGTACAGGCCAAGGAAGAAAAGCAAAATAACATTTTCTATTTCATACTAGGAATTTCAGTTGTCTGCAGTTTCCTTGCCCTCTCTACATTAACTTGTCAGAAAAATAATCACTGGATGTCAAACTTCCTAGCACCCTGTAATGAAGCACATGGCAAAAGAAGCACCAGCTGCTGATGCAATGATGGCATAGGGAAAGAAAACTTACATTCAGTATAATCTCAACAAATGAATTCATTTTACTTCCTTTTTCTTGCAGTGTGCTCTAAAAGCACTGGTAATATAAAAAGGTTTTCCATGTGAAAGCTTGGAAGAACTTGAAATGCTCTGGGAACAATCCCCTGTGGCTCATGTTTACACTGACAGCATTTCTTATTCACCCAAACCCCCACTCAAACAATTAGATTATGAGTTCAAGATTTCGATCACACATAGAAATAAAGAACAAATAATCTAATTGTTTTAGTATAAATCTAGTAGTCGTTCTAGACTCTATCTAAATTCTCTTTACAGACACTTTGAAAACACAAAGAAGCTGCTGCCATTTTCTTAACAAGCACTAGCTCACTGCTACTCACTATCTACAACAGAAAAAATAGTGAGTAGCTTAGCTAATCAGAGAATGCCAAATGTTCATGATAGATTCATACTAAAAATTGATAAAATCATGGCCAATGTTCTCTATTTGTTATCTAGAAAGTTCAGTAAAAAGCGTGCACATGACTGGAAGTGGCAATTGTCTAACAAAATTTGACTTTTAAATTTTGCAGCAAAATAATAACCAAAATATTATCGCGTGCCTTACATAGATACCTTGAAGATGGCACTTTATAGTGGCCCCCTTATAATAAGTGAGTAGGACTACATTAAGTCCATATTTGGCCTTGCATAACTTATAACAGGAAAATTATTTAAATGATGATGGTTACCATGGTATCAGATGGAAACCCAGCTAAACCTCCTGAAGGGTCTTCACGAAGAGCCTCAATGTACGAGAAAACCACGATGATGAAATAGATCTAAGAAATAAAGAGCAATAAACAATTAAAAAATCACCTATAAACTTGATAAAATTCTTCCCCTTAGCTTATAAATATCACACAATCCCCCCCCCCCTGTAAGTAATGATCACTTAAAAGTAATAATAGATTAGAACTTACCGATAGGACCCATCCAAGGATTATTCCAATGAGGGTATAAGCAAACTAGGAATAACAGAAATTTTGTCAATTTGTAAATAGGGAGCTCAGTCATAGTACTTTGAGTCATTTTGGCCACCTACAAAATTACCTTTAAATTGAAGGAAGCCTGAAAATAAGAGTTTACTGAGACAGAAAAACACCATTGAAAAAGATAATAATAATAATAATAATAATAATAATAATAATAATAATATTAATAATAATAATAATAATAATAAAGGAACAAGGACGGTTAAGGATGGAGAAGATTAACATAGATTACAGATGACGAACTTGAAAAATATAGGCTGAACTTTTCAAGATGCACCAACTGTGATGTAGCTCCTTTAAATACTTTCATACTTGAGTCAAGGTGCTTTTTATTCAATAATTTACTAATCGTGAGTAACAGTTTAAGATAAAACTCACTCCATTCCAGATGGCAACAAGGAAAATTGTTGCTCCCAAAGTGAACAGAAGTTGAAAGAGACTCCACAACACCCAAGGAAAGGCCAAAAATCTGTTCCTCTGCAAAACATAGACAAAAAGAAGTTGATAATAATTGATAATGGTAATAGGACTGAGTGGAGTCCAATTCGGTCTGTAATTGATAGACCGCAAAGCAGGAGTCCGACTTGTTAATAACGAGTATGATTACAGACTGAATTGGACGACACGATGTCCTGTTACCAATTAATCAAAACTATGACAAAATTTGAGAAACAAACAAACCATTGATTGATGACCATTGATCGCTGAACGATTAAATGTTGTTATGAATGCTGAAAAATACAGCAGTTTACTCAAGTGCACTGCAACAGCGCACGCAAAATGACACGTACTGGCCAATTACAAGCATGATGCGTACACTGTCCAATTAATGCTCAAATCGGGCTGCTGATAGCCAATCACATTCAAAAATTTTGCTATAGTTTTGATTAATAATACACAAAGAAGGAAGGAAATAAAAATAAACAAACAGTATTGGTCACATCAAAACACTGCTACAGAGACCAAGAGATAGAGAAAGGTAGACATACATACATACATACAGACAGACAGACAAACAGACAGACAGACAAACAGACAGACAGAGAGACAGACAGACATGGGACAGTATAAAGTACGCACTAATAGAGTGTTTTTAGCAGGATGTCTGAAAAGCCAAGGGGTATCTGAACTTCTTAAAAATACATAATTTGTATGTAAAATATCTCTAATTAATTTGGAAATGTCAGTTATCCATGGCCTTAATTTATTTTCTAAAGTTTACTTTAATACATGTGTATGATAGTTTTCTTAAGGGACTGTGTCACATTTAGTCTCATTTATTTAGTTTCGCCAAACACTTGCGATGAAACTTGATGTTAACGTAGAAATTACTTCTATGGATCGAAATTGCTGAACATAGAGGCTCTTTGTTACAAACAATATGTCTCCCAGGCATAATAATTGAAGGTGACAAAGACACAAGATTAACTTTAAAAATTATTCGGCTTGATAATTTTTCAAAACAATATTTTGCCATCCATAACTTTTAATCTTAATTTCTGACTATCCATAACTAGTGTTACTGAAATATTTATTTACTGTTTAAGTTGGTTACCCTCACTCAATTTGGCAGCCATTTTCTAATGTCTTAATCTGGCCTAAATCTGACACAGTTAAGTTTAATATTTAATTCTCCTGATTGGATTTATGTGTAACGATTTTGCGCAGAAAATTGCATTGTTGATTGGTGACTTACCATGCCATAGGATACCAGTAGGCACAAATTTACCAACAGCGAGATCGCTGCAAAGGCGATGCCAGCATAGCTCAAGTGGATGACAACTTAGAAGACAAAAAACACCTCAGTCAGTAGTTGTTCCTTAGATATTGCATCAGCCACTGGGTGTGTGTGTGTGTTGGGTGGGCGGGCACTTCCGTAAATTTCGAATAGGTGTGTGCCACAAAGGGTCTTAAATCCTGACTGTAAGCTATTTAAGGATTAAGCAAACACACACTCCCATCTTTTGTAAGGAACCCGCCAGAAAAATGACACCGTTCTTAAAAGGAAAACAAAAACTAAGAATGGCGTGAAGGGGTAAGCTTTATTTCATTTCTGTAACATTGGAAGTTAAGCATCAAGCATAGGATTTCAGTTGTTTTTTTGTTTAGCTGGGCATTTAGGCACTGGAATTTTAGCTGTTACAATTTAGGTACCCTATCTAAGGATCACATTTGAAACACAATGCCAACAGGGGCGAAAATGATACCCCATTTAAGGATCAGGAACCTCAAATTGCATACCTATCCTACGGCACAATAATATATGGGAATATCCCCATATCCCCTGGATTAGCCATCAATGCCATAAAGAGCTGCATGGCCATTTAGTTCAGCCTGAACAGGATTTAATAAATGTAATATTAGGCAAGAAAAATAAACATACTATTAAAATATTTTTCATCCACAGGAAGGTCTGTTGGGTCATCATTATTTTCCTTCTTGTCATCAGAAAGAGTCTTATAGACGCGAAATCCTGAATACAGAGAATATGCTGATCCAAGCTGTAAAATGGAAATAGTACAAATATATCCACAGTTAAGTTTAGTCCTGTATATATAAAAAAGAGTCCTAAGTTAGAGAAGTGTGGTGTGGTGCTATTAAATATGCAAATAGTTGATAACAAATAACAACGGATGTTAAAATGAACGTCTAATACGGCAAAGTTATAGCAGGGAACTTGTAAAAGATCTTTACAGTGAAAGCAAGGAAAAAAATTCCACCTTGTATGATTCAGAGAGTGATACACTAGACAGAGTTGATTACGTGAATTATGCTCGGAATCAGTCATGCATTTAGAGTAGCTATTTATTACCCGGGAGTTATCAAGCATTTTGTCACGTCCCGACAAACGGCAGGAAACCAAACTAGCTGTTATTCAAGAACTACAATCTATAAATGATGATAAAACGGAAAAAAATGAATATCATGTGTTTTCAGGGAATGCTGTGAGCAGAATTCGTTTTAACATAGGAATTGAAAGTTGTACTGCAAGCTTACAATGCGTACACAGTATGGTTAATTTATGAACGCAGTATCATTCGAAAATGCAAAGACTACGTACAACAACGCCTGGACAACTGTAAAATTATAAACAGATGCACAAAAGCGTGGTATATCTGGCAACAATATGAATGTATTTTCACGTTTATCAAATTATCAAGGATTGAAACGAGTTGTGGAACGATACTGATAGAAGAAAATATTTTAACAGCTAAATTCAGCCTGCGCTGTAATGGTTTTCACTCGCATTGTTCATTTTCCATTACTGGATCAAAACAGGATGAAGTATCGGTGGACTGTCGAAAGCCAATTCATAATTCCTTCTTTCCTTTTTTGACGAAAAAAGCTTAAAAGCTGAAGGCAGCTAAGGCGACTGTTCGCAAACAACGCTTGAAGACGCAAGACAGGCCAACAACCACCAGGCTAAAGTCGGTTAACATCACGGCTTTACAGAGGTTGAGGTCAGAAAACGCTAAGCCCTCATAGAATGAATTCACGGAGAAATAGTTTCAGTTTTTCAGTTTTGTTATTATTGCACACTATATATATATA